AGCAGGAGACGACTCTTAAAGTAGAGACTATACATACTGACTAGTACACCCTGAACATCCAGCAGGAGGTAGACGTCTTTAAGTAGAGAGTACACGGTACCATACTGACTATACCCTGAAGATCATCAGGACGAGGACTCTTTAACAGTAGAGACCACGTACAATACCTGATATACCACCTGAACATCAGCAGTTGAGATGGACTCTAAAGTAGAGGACACTACATACTGCTAGTTACCACCCTGAACATCAGCAGGCAGCAGGACTTCGCTTTAAAGTAGAGACACTAGCATACTGATTATAACACCTGCAACACCAGGCAGGAGAGACTCTTTAACAGTAGAGACATACATACTGGATCATTTTACACCTGAACATCAGGCAGGAGAGGACCTCTTTTAAGTAGAGACACTACATACCTGATATTTACACCTGAACCACCAGCAGAGAGGACTCTGTTAAAGTAGAGACACTACGATACTGATGATACACGCTGAACATCAGGCAGGAGAGGACTCTTTAAAGTAGAGACACTTAGCTACTGATATACACCTGAACATCAGCAGGAGAGGACTCTTTAAAGTAGAGACACTACATACTGATATACACCTGAACATCAGCAGGAGAGGACTCTTTAAAGTAGAGACACTACATACTGATATACACCTGAACATCAGCAGGAGAGGACTCTTTAAAGTAGAGACACTACATACTGATATACACCTGAACATCAGCAGGAGAGGACTCTTTAAAGTAGAGACACTACATACTGATATACACCTGAACATCAGCAGGAGAGGACTCTTTAAAGTAGAGACACTACATACTGTACTGATATACACCTGAACATCAGCAGGAGAGGACTCTTTAAAGTAGAGACACTACATACTGATATACACCTGAACATCAGCAGGAGAGGACTCTTTAAAGTGAATACTTGCCTGCAGTGAACAATAATCGGGCAGGATCGACCCCGGTAGCACTTGTTAACCTTCCTGCAATAGAAAAAGAGAAAAGTGGATGTTATGGTGAGCATTGTGAGCATGAAGGCTGCTAACGAGGACTCTTTAAAGTAGAGACACTACATACTGACTAATTAAAGTGAGGGGAGACTCATCAAAAGAGCAAACCTGCCGGCTTTTTATGGGATGTTTTACACCACAGACACAGGGAAGGCCAATGAGCCTTTTTAAAATACCCAACACCCACCACCTTCTGTTGCTATGGAAACTGACTACAGCGAGAGCGTCCATGCATTTCCACTCGTTTTTTTTTTACCTTTCAGCCACCTTTTTAATATTATTTCTTATAACCATGCAGAGCTGTTTGGAGTTCCCATGCAATCAAGAGGAAGGAGCAGTGAGGAAGAGGAGGAGGAAGAGGAGGAGGAAGAGGAGGAGGAGGAAGAGCAGGAGGTGCACAGGCCTGGCTGAGGAGACACAGTTTCCAATGATCACTTTTGTGACTATGCAACTGGGCTCATATTACTAGCTGCAGCATCACAAAAATGACACTGGCAACCGCAAGAACGGGCCGAAACCGTGAGAAACACCGAGAGGGTCTGAGAGTAAAGTCAGAGCTTTAGATTCCCAACACCACATAAGGACAGCCAATAGCGAAGGAGAACCTGCTCAAACCTGCGCACCCACACCTGCAGGATAAGCTGGAGGTGTGGCTTTAGCATCCTCAAAAACTTCTAGGCTTCGAAATATCAAATTAAAATTCAAACTTTTTTGACTCTCATTGACTCGTTTGTAAAAGAGGATACCAAAAGTAAAATAAATAGATATTAAACATATATATATATAAATGGAAAAATAAATAAATATAATACAGTTAAGGGAAAAAAGACAAAATATATTTTCAAATAAATCTGAAAGAATTAATAAATAAAAAGACGTAAAAATAAAAATATATTATCATTCTCGCATTTGATACCAACATTTAAATAAATAAATATTTATGTTTTATTTACCTATAAGATACATGAATGAAAAAATACGATATAAAGAAGGAAAGATAAAATAAAAATAAAAAAAACGAGTTTTTTGTGCAGAAAAACCCATTTTCTCATTCACAGCGTTTTGTTTACATGCAACCTTTGAGTTCGGGTTTAAAAATGAAATCAAATAAACAAACTTTTCTTCATTCGATATCACAGATATGCACACCCAGTTCAATTTAAATCTGCACGACATGACAGCATCCTTTCCTTCGCCCTCATCTGCATCACAAATAAGGGACAGACACCCGTCCACCAATCAGATGCATCGACTCTGAATTTTCCTCATTTGCAGGCTTTTCCTTTCCCTCCTGGTTCTCCCAGAGGACCTATTGCTGCTCTTCTGCCAGAACACATTACATGGAGAACACAGCGAGGTTATTCAGTCACTAGCTTTCTTTATTTTGCGAGACAGGCTTCTCATTTAATTGGCTGTCTGAATTAGCGTTTTATATTCTTCTCTTCCCAAGCCAAGCCAAGCCAAGCCAAGCCAAGCAGTGCGGGGCGGTTAATTTGCTGCATCACATGTTCTGGAGGGAGGTGAAGAAAACAGGCCCGGGATGAAAGGGATAGCACAGAAACCTGATCAGAGAACAACCGGGACACCCACAAAAGCAGAGGGGCAAAGAAAGAGGGTGCAGACAGGAAACAGAATACAAGAGGAGGAGATTAAAACATCAGGTGGAGATCTTCAGGGTCTGAAGGTGCGTTCACAGCGGAGGATAAGCACATTTTCTGCATGTCGTAATATGTTAATATTGTTGTTGTTGGTATCTACATGGTGAGGTAAGCCCCGCCTCCTCCATATTTTTCGTTTTAATAGTACACTCTGTGTCTTGTTGAAATGACAATAAAGTATGTCTAAGTCTAGAGAGGTGAAGTCCCTCCCTTTCCTCCATGGACCTTATTTCTGAAAAAGTATGTATTGAAGTCAATGGAGAGAGAAAGATTATCACTTTGTTGTGTGTGAAACCGCTCAATGAACTACATCTCCCGTCTCCCACCACACACCAAGACGGCGTCACGTTGGCACATTTCACTTCTTTCTTTCAGAACGAGGCGGAAAGTATTAAAAGAGGTGAAAATCACTCCAAGTCTGGGCACGTTGAGAGCTGTACATACACACAAGGGGAGTTAGTTTGTTCCTAAGAGCCAGCATGCGGGACCGGGACTCTGGGATTTGTAGTCTTTCTAGCTGCGTATTTTTCATAGTCTTATATTTCAACAGTTTTACGACAAACTGTGACTTTTTTGACTTGGAAATGATTTTTTAAGATTGACAAACATCATGTGTGTAATTCATGGCACAATTCAAACGGGATCGAAAGATATGTTTTCTCTCTCCATTGACTTCAATACATATCTTTTCCGAAATAAGGTCCCATGAGGCGGAAGTAGATGGGCGTGACTTCGCCTCTCTGTGCAAAGATGCGGATAGTCAGTTAAAACATTTCAACTGAAGAGATGAATTAAAGTCAATCAGCGGTGAGAATCTCAGCCTGTCGTCATTGCTGACTCAGGAAACCAAACAGCAGCCGTTAGCTGTTAGCTGTTAGCTGTTAGCACACAGAGCTCACAGAACTCATATCTGTTCATGAACTGGAGAAACATCAGAGTTTATACACATACTAACCCCAGACTGTCTGTGTCGGACACAGTCTCTGCTTTATTTCTGTCTGTATGACGTTGTTGTGAGTGTGTACGGAGCAGCTACATGTTAGCTTAGCCTAGCCTGCTCCGATCTGCATTCAGAAAACATCTTAAACGTTTTGTTCCTGCCGTCTTGTAAGCACACTTACTAAAGCGTTACTTCAACATAATTTTTGAGACATGCATCACAATTAAATCACGGTGTAATGTGTTAATTGTATTGTTGTTGGTATCTACATGGTGAGGTAAGCCCCGCCTCCTCGTCTAGTTTGAGTGACACGAGTAAACACCAATGAGGGTCTCCACTTTACCTGCGGAAGTCTAGAAGGGTCCGGGCTGAGTTTGGGATCCCGCGGTCCATCCAGGACAGGAAGTGGAACTGCGTGACGGTGCGAGTCTCGTTGGTCTGCAGGTTTTTCAGGTAGAAGCTCCGCACCAGGAAGTCCTCGCACCAGATGTGCTCCGACACCAAGTTCACCTGGGAAATATAACGATTTAGTGAAAGATTTAGTAAGGATTTATTTTCAAAGGATGCAACAACCATGATAAAACGTAGGGAAAGAGCCAAGAAGATGCCAAGATGCCCTTCTTGTTTGTTTGTTTGTTTGTTCACCATGTAAAGCGGCCTTGGGTCCCTGGAAAGCTATACAAATAGTCTTAGTATGTTGGTATCCAGATATGCAAATAGAGTTCATAAAAACCTGCAGGAATAAACTACAAGCATCTACACAAAACTAAAGGTGATAGGGATGTCACATTGTTTTGGGAAGTAACCAAAGGAGTCACACAGAGATCTGAGCCTCTGCAGACCATTTACATGCACTCAAACCTATAGAGAGGGAAAACCCCAAAAAGCAGAATAGGTCCTCTTTAAAATGTACAGAATCCAAGCGTTACCTCGTAGACGTGGTAGACGTCCGATCCCTCGTCAGGCCAGTAGGGATGACACTGCTTCACCCCATTTTCAGAGAGTGGGGTCAACATGACGACGACAACACAACCGCTCTCCCACACCATCTGAAAGTAAACAAACGTTGTTTACTGAAGTGTATTATGTAAGACAACAGAACAATGTGACCAGGATTTTATAGGAAAACCCTCTTTTCATGAAGCACATTCAGGCAGTAGCCTAACAGTGAAACACATGAGCACACACTACAGTTTAAAAAGCAGAAATAACATCTGAGCTGAGAGAAATACTCGATGTTGAGTTTACTACAC